TCGGCGCTCAAAGGGTCGGCACGGAAATCCTCGCAGCAGGGCAGCTCTCGGCTCGGGCGATGCTCAGGACTGGCCCCGCAAAGAAGCGAGCAGCACCCAAACCTCACGCCTTGCAGCCGGGCAGCAGCTTGCGCCCCTGGGCTCCCTGGGGATAACACCCGGCCCGGACTCCTGCCCCAACCTTTTGCAGGTATCAGGAAACGCTTTGCAAGCGCCAGGTCTCTCTGGTCATTGAGAGGGGACTAAATGACATTTCATTCCCAGGCAAGTAATTACAGGCTGAGGTAATTACAAGATCTTCCCAGGAGCTACGGACCCATCAGTTCGACAGAGGTCCTGGACAGTATAGCTGATCTACTAGCTTTGTTAGCAGAGAATAAAGCCCGTGCCAATCATCAAGTGCTCAGGGACAAACTGACTCAGTACTTGGGAGAGAAGATAACAAGTGCCATTCATGAAGGTGTTGATGTAATGTATTCAGTCATCTGAAAGGCATTTGACATCACAGAGAACAACTTTTTCATTAATAAATTAGAATGATACAAAATCACTACGGCACACACTGCATGGGTTAGGGAGTAGCTAAGTAACAGCTCTCGGGACCAGAACCATCCCCGGTGGGCAAAGGCCCAGGGGAGAGAAAGGGGCCGGAGAAAGGGGAATGAAGCCAGTGGCCGTTATCACACGACCCAGCCAAGAAATGGCCTTACTCCATTTCCTGTTTTTCATCTGGAAGTCGGAGGAAAAAAAATCACTGCCGCAGAGATCTGCAGGTGACACAAAGATTGGGAACAACCAAAAATGACAAGTCCCTGCCACAGAAGGATCTGGTTTTGCTTGGTCAAAAACACCTTTTTACTACAGCTAGACACAATGGCCTTCCCTCTAGGATGTAAATCACTCTTTCAGGCAGGAAAACTATTTCCCGGAGTCAGTGACCCCAGAGGGGCACGCGGGCTCCCAGGGCAGCAGCGCGGCCAGAAGGACCAGTGCCATATTTTGATGCATGAAAAAAGAAACCGTCGGAAAGCACAGAAGGCTGCTGGAATTAACTTCTCAGGCCAGGAAGAAAGTCGAGCCATTGGAGAGGGCTCAGGGAACAACTAAAGCGAACGTAATAGGTTGGATAAAGTTCAAGGAGCCAGAAAGGGATTAGATGCTGACCAGCATCCCCCTTGTGTCGAGACATCCCTGTGCCCCTGCAGCTCCACGGGAAGGGGCCCCTGGAGAAAGGCCACCCTTCTGGGTGCAGCATTTGCTGCAGCCTGGGAGGAAGAAGAGCATCTTCCCGGGGGCTAAGCCCAGATGGGTCACGTGGAGACAAACCCTCCTCCTTGGTGCACTGTAGCTGCAAGCCTAGCTTGCTGCCAGGGAACGCATGTCACTGAGAAACAGAGCCAACTTCCACTCGTCATCCATGCTATCTATAGGCACTCGCCGGTCGCTAGCAGAGCGAGAGGCTGGACAGGCCGTGGCAGATGGACTCTCCTGGCACGTTGCAGCGGGGCCCTGGGTAAAGCCTGTCCCGCGGCTCCAGGGAGCAGCCTGCGCTGGCCCAGCGCCACTGGGGGCCAGTCAGTGTGCGTGATCCTGGCCCCCTCCACGTATTGTTTCCAGGATGCGGACGGGGTGGACTGATAGGTTCTCCTATGCAGAGCCTGCCTCCCCTCCAGCCTGTCCTGTTTTTCCTCCATTTCCTCAGCTCTCCCCTTGCTGCACAGCCCAGTCCCTTCCCATCCCTTGCTCCGGCAGCTCCTCGACACCTTCCCGGAGCCCCCCTTTGCCCCCGCCCGCCCTGGGACACAGCAGGGCCCACCCTGTGCCCCGGCCCCTTGTGTCTGCTGCTGCTGCTGCTGCAGGAGCTGCTGCAGGAGCTGCATTTGGTGGTGGGCCGAGAGCGGCGTCCCCAGGTCGGGCAGCTGGGCAGACGAAGGCAGCAGCATTTTGGGCGACGCCGTCAGGATACTTTCTGGGTGGAGGCAGCCCTGCAAAACATCAACGTCGAGAGGGTGACCCCGTGCGCGCCCCACGCCACCCTGCTGCAAGGGGCAGCAGGACGTCTCGCCAGCCCTGGCTGCTGGAGCTGGGAGGAGGGCTGCTGAAAAACTTTGGAAACAGTATTTTTCAGTTGCATCAAGGACAAAGCCTCCGGCAGTAGAACAGCTTATCCTATGGCCAAGGCGAATTAGGTTAGAGCCCAGGAAAATCTGCTAACGCAGCAGCTCGCGAGGCGCAGGGGCAGGTGCCTGGGGAAGGACGGAGCCCGCGTCGCCAGCCTCAAAAGCAGCATCCGCCAGGAGCGAGGAGGCTCCGCTGAGCCCGCCTCCGGCAGGGCGACGGGCTCGCTGACCTCCCAGCCACCTACAC